AAATATTGTAGGTGTAATTACAAATAAGAGTTTGAAAGATAATGTTGTATAAATTAATAGAATTGAAGATAGAATAATAGTTATTAAAAAAATTGTTGATACTAAGATTTTTAATATTATAAGTGCTTATACTTCTCAAGTAGGTTTAGATATAAGTTCTAATGAATAATTCTGGAATGACTTAGAAAACTTAATATAAATAGTACCTCTTGAAGAAAGAATTTCTATTGGAGAATATTTAAATGGACATGTCGGTAGAGTGATAGCTGATTTTAGAAATTTTCATGATAGCTACATTTCTTTAGTGATTAATGAAGAAGGTAGAGTCATATTATATTCTGCTTCAACATATGATTTTGTTATTGCTAATACTTTATTCAGAAAAGATATTTGCATATTATTACTTATAAGAATGGATTTAATAAAACATAAATTGATTATATTCTTGTGAGAAGAAGAGATCATCGAGAATGTAAAGATTCTAAGGACATTTCAAGTGAGGATTTAAGGACTCAACATCGATTATTAGTTATGAATTTTAAGATGAAGAGTTGTAAAATAAAGAACATTAGGAATCATTGTCGTAGAATTAGATGAGAGCACCTAAAAAACAAATAAAATTATTTTTATGAGTGAACCTTAAGATTTTAAGATTTGGGATGTTCTTGAAGAAACAAATTCTATGTGGGATAAAATAATAAATATTATTAAACAAGTGACAAAAAATGTATTTGGACAAAAAATGTATTTGGAGAATATGTATTTGGAGAATTAAAATAAAAAGTTTCTATAAATAAAAATAATTGGTGGTGGAATAACAAGGAAAGATAAAATATAAGTTGTGTTATAAAAATTGGTTTAAATGTAAAAGCTCAGAGAGCTGAGAAAAATATAAAATGCCCATAGGGAGTCTAAGAGAACATTTGGTGATGCTAAATATTCTGCTTTTAGTGCTCTTTATAATAAATTAGATACTTAAGAAGGTGAAAAAAATATGTATATACTAGCCAAACAAAGAGAAAAGAAAAGTAAGGATTTAACTCGAGTAAAGTGTATTAAAAATGAAATTAAAAGGTGATTTTCTTAGAAAAAGATATTCAACATAGGTGGGTGAGTTATTTTGATAAACTTTTAATGAAGTTTTTGAAAATATGATCGGCCTTGATGATTTTAATATTATTAATAATTATAAAATGTTCTGTTTTTACCGTGACATTAGTAAAAAAGAGTTTGAGGATTTAAATAAAATTAATGGTGAAAAATCTGTAGGACCTGATGATATCCAATTGAAGTGTATAAATATATAGGAGAATTGGGAGTTTCTTGGCTTACTAAACTCTTTAATATTATTTTTAAAGCTAAAAAGATGCATGAGTTAAGTAAGAGTTTTTTGGTCTTTGGTTTGGTCTTTGGGTGCACAAGAGTGTGTAAATTATAATGAAATTAAGGATGTTTCATACTTTAAAATTATGGGAGAGGATAATTGAACATAGGACGTAGTACAAAGATTTCTCATAATCAATTTGGATTTATGCCAAGTGTCAATCAGGAAGGATGAAAATCAGACAGCTAAATTAAGAGTTTTCTTATTTCTGATATTTTTACTCTGATATATTTCCTTTTTAGCTGAATATTTAGATTAATAATATGTTTTATTAAGTTACCTAAAATTGATTATATGCACATTATTTTGTACCTAAAATAGATTGTAAGATTGCTATTTAATGGAATAAAAGCAAAGAGAAAAGTCAATTGAGCCTATTCAGAATTTAGCCTATTTTTCTCAAAATTTTGATATAGTATCAGAGCCAAATTTTTGCCCTAACCACCGACAATCGTTGAAGGACCGTCAAAACTCTCTTCCTGCTGGTCTTCTTGCGGGAAGGGAGGAACTATTTCTCCTCCTTTGATTCGCCTTCTACCGCGGGAAGGGAGGAACTATTTCTCCGCCTTCGATTTGCCTTCTACCGGTTCATCTCAGGCTTCAGTTACAGATATGTAGTCCTCTATATGGGCGGCAAGGGCGGCAACAACACAACGTGGATGAACATGGCGGTTCTGGTGACGTGCGTACACAATTTTCATGGTAATCGTGGTACGATCTCAGGATACTGAAGGGCTACGTGGGACTCAACACCGCCATCTTCACTGATCTCTGCTCTGCTCTTTTTACCGATGTCCCAGACTCTTTCATCCTCATGCTAGTCGTCGTATCTGTTGTTCTCTGAGCCATCGCTATGGTCTTCCTCCGTGAGACATCGTTTGGAACTCTGACGCGAAATCATCTCCGTCGTCAATTTCAATCCCGCTATCGCAACTCTCCATCGCCTTCTTCCTCCGATTCGACGAGTTCCAGACAAAGCCAACCGTCGCTGTGAATGACGCGTAGAATCTCTCGGATCTTCTCTGCTGGTCTCATCGTTCTTCTCGCCACTCCGACTATCGTGCCGACGTTCCTCTGGTTCAAGGCTCGATCATCCTCACTGCGAGTGGTTGATTTAGACCTGGAGGTGGCTGTGATTCAAGCGCCGCTCCTCACCGGTAGCAGCACGAAAAAAAAAAACTACCGACGGAACCGACAGTGAGTGGCGATCGGGGAACAGACCTGGAGGTGGCTGAGAGTCTGATTCAAGCGCCGCTCCTCACCGGTAGCAGCACGGAAAAAAAAAATTACCGACGGAACCGACAGTGAGTGGCGATCGGGGAAAGCGGAAAGCGGATTCAGAAGAAACTGGAGATCGAAGAGGACATACTATATGGGAAGCTATGAGGAAATTGGAGTTCTGGTCATTGTTCGTCTCGTTTCTCTGTGGCGTGAGAACGGGGATGGCTGTAATGAATAATATGGGGCAGATGGGTCTCTCCAATTGCTACTCTGACGTCTCCATCTTCGTCTCTCTCATCAACATCTAGGGCTTCTTCGACACTCTTGAGCTCTCTCGGGGCTTAGGCACTCTGAGGCTTCTGCCTCTCGGTCTTTGGCACTCCAAGAGGGCTTCGACACTCTGAAACTTCGGCCTCTAGGGCTTCGACCTTTCGGGCTTCGACACTTTTGGGCTTTGGCATTTTTGTGTTTCGGCATTTTTAGGCTTCGGCCTTTCGGGCTTCAACAGTCTTCTGCTTCGGCCCTCTTGGGCTTCGGCATTTTCAGGCTTCTGCACTTTCAGGCTTCGGGCTTCATCACTTTTGGGCTTTAGGTTTCGACATTTTTAGACTTCGACACTCTTAGTCTTCGACACTTTCAGGCTTCGGCACTCTCAGGCTTGACACTCTTGGGCTTCGACAATCTGAAGCTTCGACACTCTGAAGCTTCGACACTCACGATTTGAGGATTTTTTTATCTCGGCAGTGTTATCAGTTTCTTGTTGGCAGATTGATGCTTTCTGATCAGTCAGCATCAGTTTGAGGTGAGGATGTCAATCATGAATGATGGAAATCAGTCGGCTAAATTAAGAGTTTTCTATAATTAGAAGCTTTCTTATTTCCAATATCTTTACTCTGATATATTTTTTTTTAGTTGAATATTTAGATTAAAAAGATGTATTATTAAGTTACATAAAATAGATTATATGCACTTTATTTTGTACCTAAAATAGATTGTAAGATTGTTATTTAATAAAATGAAAGCAAAGGGAAAAATCAGTTGAGCCTATTCAGAATTTAGTCTATTTTTCTCAAAACTTTGACACCAAGCAGGTCTACTATGGAAGCTATACTTTTATTGAGAAGTTTGATGGAGATGTTCAGAGAGAATAAGGAGAATCTACATATGATTTTTATTGATCTTGAAAATACTTTCGATGAGGTTCCAAGAGATATCTTTTGGAGAGTTATAGAAAAGAAATGTGTTGATATGATTTATATTCAAGTAATCAAAGATATGTATACTAGAGCTGTTACCTCTGTTCGAATAGAGGATTGACCAATTATTTTCATATTTCATTTGGATTACATCGGGGATCGTCTTTAAGTTCATATCTTTTTTGCTTCAGTTATGGATGCTCTTACTGAACATTTACAAAAGGATGTACCATGGTGTATTGTTTTTGCTGATGATATCCTTCTTGTGGATAAGACCAGAAAAAACTTGAATTATGGATGTCTACGTTGGAGTTTAAAGGCCTTTGTTTGAGTAGAACTAATTTGAATTCATGGAATGTAATTTTAGTAGTAGTAGCTCTAGTGACAAAATTGTTACTATGGGTGATCAAATTATTAAAAGGTATGAACGCTTTAGATATCTTGAGTCTATTGTCAAAGTGATGATGATATAGATGGGGATGTTATTAGTAGAATTCAAGTTGATTGGTTGAAGTGGAAGAATACTTTGAGCCTATTGTGTGATAGAAAAGTACGACTTATTGTATGATAGAAAAGTACGACTTAGACGGAAAAGAAAATTTTATAAGATGGTGATGAGGCCTGCAATGCTCTATGGAGCTGAATGTTGGCCTTTAAAAGAGAAGCATAAAACTAAGTTGAGTGTTGTCGAGATGAGAATACTTAGGTGGATGAGTGGCTTTATACTTAGAGACAAAATGCGAAATGAATATTTCTGTGATAGGGTTGTTGCAGCTCCAGTGATGGACAAAATTAGTGAGAGTCGTCTTAGATGGTTTGGTCACATTAGACGTCGACTATTTGATGATCCGATTAGGAGAGTAGATGTTTTAGATTCGACTTATGTTAAGAAAGACAGAGATAAACTTAGAAAGACTTGAACATTTTGTATAAAAAATCATCTTAATTTATTAGAATTTAATTAAAATATGACATTCAATAGAACACAATGGAAAAGAAGGATTCATGTAGCCGACTCCACTTAGTGGGATAAAGGTTTATTGTTGTTGTTGTTGTACTGTTGTTGTTGGTTGTTGTTGTACACAATGTAGATTATCTAATTGAGAAAAAACAACTATTTTCCAGCGCCTTCATATTAGTTGTTTATCCCCTAGAGTGCATGACCCAAGTGAACATAAACGACAACAATACAATTTTATTTTTATCTTGGCTGAAATTTAACATTTCTCTTCTTTTTTTGAATGCTAAAAGGGAGATACCTTAGTATGTATATTTACTAGGCCAACTTACAGCACAAGGATTGATGGATGCATAATCCTAAATATTCTGATGAGCTTTAGCTACATTGATCTTGTTAGCTAGAGAACTTTCATGTTATTGCATGATTGGACATCCTTTCACAACAACCTCAGGACTTGTAGGACAATTAGCTAGCGGACAATAATCACTTGCATCACCACCCCACCAATCTATGCCATTGATGTTCCTAAATTGCATAGCAAAGAAGATTAGCACTCCCATGAAAGCTACTCCAGCTTCTAAGGCCGCCGACATCACATAGGTATGTCTTGCCCACCAGTTCTTGTGCCTTCTGTAAATGTAATAATTGAAGTAAATACCGACCATACCCCACATTGTGTAGTTCACTGTGTGCGCTGGTGGGATGGCACCTCCGCCGGAGAGTAGCAGGGGAATGTGAATATGTTTTAGCCACCTCGTCTCAGGGAATGCCTTAGCAAGCAACCAAAACGGAATGGGTAACAGGAAACCTATTAAGAAGAAATAGTTCAGAAGTGAGTAATGACCAAGTTTGCCAAATATTCTCTTAGGGCCTACAAGACCCCAAATGATGTTGATAGTGAAGAGGAAGTTATCCACAGGGCAAGTCCATGGGCTCCCTGGAGGAAGTTTGCTTGTGTCGCATATATTCTTTACAGAGTTAAGAAGAAACCATGTTGTTGCAAATTGAACACATGTTGCTATTATGGTACCTGTCAACTGAAATTTTTTTTTAAAAAAACATAGGTAGAAGTCAGTGTTCTGAAGATATAACTATTTCAATGATGATGTCATATGCTGGGATGACTAAGTGATTGCTTGTGATCAATTTTATTATTTTTTAAATTAAAAAAAAAACATTTTTTTTGTATGTTTTCTATGTGTTTTGTTTTTTATTTCTAAAAACAAATTAACATTTTCTTCAAAACACTTAAAATAATAGGTGTTTTGATTGCTTTAAAAAACAATTATATCTTAATCAAATATGTCAAACATATTTTGTTTCAAAACAAAATTAAAAAAAATAATAATAAAAATAAAAAATAAAATTGATCCCAAACAACCCCTAAATATGTGATGGAAATGTTATTGTTAGACGGTGATGGATGCTTGTGATTCAACATTTGTATCTCTGTTTCAGTGTTGAAATAATATGGTTATCATCTGTGCATATGCATGTTTATAATCATTCATAATGTTTGAGTAACTATCATGTTCATTAAGAAGTGAAATTCATATTCATGTTTATAATCATTCGTAATGTTTGAGTAACTATCATGTTCATTAACAAGTGAAATTACACTGAAGAACTGTAATTAGAACTTTTTTGAGCGTAGAATGGTGCATATAAAGCCAAAACAGACCTAAAACTCTTTATTTTATTTTATTTTTTTCTTAATATAAACAATCAAACAAAAAAAAAACACTTTTCAGGAAACTTTGTGTTTATCAGATTGATGTAGTATGTTGTAAAATACATGATCTTGGTAGTTTTTTTTATAGCTGGTGTTTAAATATTTTAATTGTGATGTCTTTTTAATGTGCAGAAATGAAAGTTAGGATTTCTTTTATTTGCTTTAGGAAGTTACCTGTACAATAAACATGGACTTTGGTGGTATCTTCATGTATTTTCCCAAGTTTAGGTCACTAAGAAGTGTGAGTGCGTGGTTAACACTGATGCTGCCATAAGTCTTGAATGTCACATTTGCAAGAGGCTTTCCAGGTAATATTAAGCCTATGATGTACTCTGTAATGACATAGAGCCCTACTCCCTGTATTGCAATTTTTAAATTTTATAAACTAATAGTAATTCATCATTATAGCACAAATTTGAAAAGTTTTTCTTTTAGACATTTTAATTTACGGTATGGCCAATTGGCCTACTAGTAATAGTTTATTTTGCCTAAGAAATATTCTGTGCCCTTTAATGGTTTGCTGTTTTTTTCTTTTTTTTTAATAAAGAACAAACAATAAAATTAAAGGGCAGCAGACCTGATTTGTAGTTGCCTGGATAACTCCAAAAGGTAATGTGAAGAGAAAAGCCATGCCGCAAGCAAAGAATAACCCCCACCATGGAAGTTGTAGTTGTCTGTTAAAACCTAAGCATGTAAAAATGGAGAGTCCAAGTGTAGAAATTAAGAGAACATGGAACCACCATTGAGGTACTGGCTCATAATTTCTCTTCATCAAACTTGTATGAACATCCTCCATCTTATCTCTAGCATTTTTCCACATCTTCCAAATATCCCTGATAAATAATTAAAGATAATTCAATTAAGTTTAAATAGAAAAATAATTGATGTAATTAGCCTTAGCTTTTCATTTTTTCATACTTCCCATTATGTAGAGCAACATGCATGATGGAAGCTGTTAAGGTTGCAAAACTCAGGCCATAGGAGAAGGAAAATATAATACTAGTGTTAATCTTGCTGTAGTTCTCTTGTTCTTGAACATTTAGAGTAAATGTTCCGCCATTGATGATCCTTGTGATGTTGTAGATGTTTCCAGAACTGTCAAAGACATTGGAGGAGATCATAGGGAACCGTTTGGCGTTGTAAGTGTTGGTCCAATATGTAATTGGGAGGAGAACATAAATTTTTAAGAAGAAGCTTATCATTATGTTAAATATAGCCATTGAGGGTGTGGCTAATGGGCTGCCAAGGAAGCCAGCAACTGTGGACCAGTCAAGACCAAAAGAGCCAATTCCAAGTCCGTTTAGTCCCGAACCAATTTGCTGCATTGTGACGGAGTTCTTATATACTAAACAGATAAAAGAGATGGCAGAGATGGCTGGGAAGATGAAGCCAGGGATGACATAGTATGCAAAGCTTGCTATGAAGACAATGATGAAGAATTGAAACTGTGTTATTGCTCCCTTCTTTCTGCTCTCCTTTTGATGCAGTGCTCTGCGAAATTAGTGAGCAAGTGGTAAGATATTCTCTAAAATAATATATGTTATGAATGCAGATATCCATTACCGACAAGTTTGTAAATTTAATACTTGAAGAGGGAGACTTGAACAAGGTTTGCTGGCCACCACATATATGGAGATTCAACCAGGAATTTTCTGAAAATACCAGCCCAACCATAACCAAGCAGCTGTAATTTGTTTCAAAGAGAAGTATAACTTAATCCTAAATTACGAAGGAAAGCTTAAAAAAACAAAAAATTGCTAGTTATGCACTTTTAATCTAGTTTCTCACCTGTGATGTTTGTGCTAGCAGGAAAGCTGCCCTGAGATTGATCTTTCTATGGTAGAAAGCTTTGACGACAGTGACAATATGAACCGAATAAACGCCATCTGCTCCTGTGCCTGCAAAAATGGCTATAAGACAATGTTCTTTCATTGTAAATGATCCCGGGTTGAGCGAGAAGGCCCAGTTAGTGAATGGGAGCTTTATGTCTTTCTTGGGGAGAGTTACTGCAAGAAACCTCCCGATGGGCAGTGTTACAATTTGAACGCAAACTGAACTGATATACAGTGTATTTTTCCTGAACCCAAAAAACTGATTTATGAAGGAGAGCAACACACAGGAGCTCACTCCAAGCAGCCATGTTCGAAATGTTAATGCAGATTGTTTTGGATTGTCAACTGGGTCCACCGTTAGCCTTACCTCCTCAATGGGATGATTGTTCTCTTCAACTGTAAATGATTTAGTTTGTCAGTTTACTTGTGGTCACTCTCTTTATCCAAGAGCTGAGTTCTCTACAAATCATTTATATATATTTGGTAAGTTAAATTGTGATAACTCTTTCTTCCAAGAGCTTATTTCAGGTCACAAAATGTTGATATTTTTTATTCTTTCTTGTTTTTTTTTTAATTGAATGGAAATTTAAATATGCCTGAATATGGGTTCAACTGATTTGAGACTGTTGTTGCATGATGATAGGATGTTTCGTTAATGAAGCTGTTCAGATTTCTTCTAGAATAGATGGCATCGGGTTGTGTTGAAGACATTCAGGTTTTGTTCTTGAAACTGTTTAAATTACTTTCATTTATAATGAAATAAAAAAAATGTGGCACAATAGTAAAAGGGTAGTAAGATTTCTGATAGAGTTGAAAATGCAAGGAGATGTCAAGGTGTCAATTTTTCTCCAAAATGGGGGCGATCTTTATTGAAGTCTGGTTAAGATTGGTTTTAAAACATTTGGATTTACTTTGATGAGTGCTATACAAGAGTTGATTTATGTTCATTTGTTTCATACATCTCAAAGAAAATTCAAAATATTTGAAATCATCTTAACTTAAGCTTGATTAAGATATCCACACCTAGCTTTTCTACTATGAGAATTGACGACTAAATTTGCTTTAGAAGATAATTAAAAAACTACACCAATTTTTAATTTTGATTTGATTTCATGGGTTATTTTGCACTAAAAATATGGATTGATAAAACTAAGTTAAATGTCAATTTGATCATACGATGTGTGACTATTTTGAGTAGAATAGTCTTTCTTTATGAAATTATTTTGTTGTTGAGTCCAAGATGGACTTTTCTCCTAATAAGAGGATGCTTGTTCTCTTCCTCACAGTGTTTTTGCCTCTGTTATTCCTTAAAACCATTAATTATAGATGTAAATATGTGTATGTATTTATATGCATGTGTATCACTAGAAAAGAAAATTTGCAAAAGATCGACTAGAGTTAGCCATTGGGATAGCTAGCTAAAAGCATATTCGTGGGACAGGGAACCGATATAATTTTGAATAAAAATGTGTTATGTTTTTGTCTTTGAAATAAATATTTTATGCTATTAAATAAAAGCAGGTCAACAATATTTACAGTATAATACTTAGTTTAAAATATCTATTAAAAAGGAAAATTATAACATACATTTTTTTTGAAAATTATGACGGTTCCTTGTCCCATGAACCTGCTTTTAGCAAGCTATCCTCTAGCCAATCTTTTGCCAATTTTCGTTTGTAGTGGCATGGACTGGGGGCATTCCCCAAATAAGTCATTTTTGAAGTACTTCCGTTTAGAAGGAAGACTAAGGATCTTCCCAAAGAGATTCTTCTCATATCTCTTCTATTTGTCAATTCAAGAGCTTATCTATTTATTAGTCAATAGCTAAGAAATTTTTACCTAAGGTGTTTAAAGTCAATGCTCCAAGGTAGTTATATGTGTTAGTCTTCTGGAGCCAAAGTACTGAGGGAAGACCAAGAACCCGATGCCTAAGCGCAGTGCTTGGGAGCTCAAGCGAAAAAAATTTGGGCGCTGCTTCTAAAGGAGGCGCCTTTGCGCCCACTATGGGCGTTTTTACGCCCATGTTTTGGCGCTCGATAGAAAAGGGTGTGCCTTTGTGCTCCCCTTTGGCGCCAAAGCACCCAACTATGCTGAGCGCGATTCTGCTTCCCAAGAGACGGGCGCTTTTGCACTCAGATTAGTTGGTACGCAAAATTATTTGTTTTAAACCAATTTCGAGCGGCTTTTCTTTAAGACTTCCTCGGATGTTATTTAACAAGTTCCTAGTGAAGGAGAGAAGAGTTGGATAGGAAAATTTCTGGGATCTCGGTGTATGTTGTTCGCGTCGGATCGGAGAAGGAAGATTGTGGTGCGTCTTGTAAGTTTCTTTGTGTGGGTGTGGAGAAAAAACTTTGTGAGTTCTTTGTAAAAATATCTGATTTTCATATTGAATTTGTGGTGGTGTGGCTTCGTGATTTTTTCTCGTTCTCGGGTTTTTCCACGTAAAATTCTCGTATTATTATTTTTTTTTATTGTCTTTTTGTTTAAATTTATTGTTCTAGTTTTCCCAAATCCCGTAATCCTATTCCGCAGTAAAACTAGAAGGAGATTTTTTTCGAATAGTTTCTCCCAACAAACTGATATCAGAGCGGGGTTCGATTCAAATAGAAGCAATGAGTGAAGAAGCAAGGTTCAAGGTGAAGAAGTTCAATGGGACGAATATCGCTTTCTGGAAGTTGCGGGTAGAGGATTTGTTGTTTGATAAAAAAAATGTACTTGCCACTATAAGGAATCACAAGGAAGCCTGAGTCCATGTCTATGAAAGAATGAGAATTGTTGGATTGAACGACCTTATGTTTGATCGGGTTATCACTTTTCTCATTTGTTTCTTTCAATATTATGAATGAGAATACTACGGTGGATCTAATGGGGGCATTGACCAAGATGTACAAAAAATCTTATGCTTCCAATAAAGTTTTTCTGATGAACAAATTATTCAACTTGAAGATGGTGGAAGACGGTTTAGTGGTGGAGCAACTCAATAAGTTCAACACTGTGACGAGTCAATTGTGTTATGTGGGGATGAAGGTTGATGAGGTCAGAACACTGGTGATACTATCTTCATTGCTAAACAGTTGGGATGGTTTGGTGACGATGATGAGTAACTCTTCAGGTTTTTTGAAGTTGAACTTTGATGACATTGAGGGTCTGATGCTGAATGAAGAAGTTCGCAAAAAAACTGTGAATGATGAATATTCAGGTTCTACATTGGATGTTGATAACAGGGGAATGAATTTGGGCAGAAATATAAGCATAGGCAGATCCAAGTCCAAAGAAGGAAAGCCAAGCAGAGAAGAATACTGGAACTGCGGTAAGAAAGCACATTTCAAGAAGGATTGTAAAGCTCCAAGGAAAGCTGGTGGGGGAGAACATGATAGTAGTTTCTCTACTAATGTTTTCACCAGTGAACACATTTCAAGAAGGATTGTAAAGCTCCAAGGAATGGTGGTGGAGAACAGGATAGTAGTTTCTCTACTAATGTTTTCACCAGTGAAATTCAAACTGACTCCCTAGTGTTATCCCTAGTCAGCACTGAGTCCTGCATAGTGGATTCATGTGTCTCTTTTTATATTTGCTTCAATAAAGAGGTTTTTAAAAACAATAGTCAGAATGATCTAGGGAAGGGTTATTTGAGAGATAACAAGGTCTGCAATATAGTAGGAAAGGGTGATGTTGATTTGAAGTTGTCGAATAGAACAATCTGGAAGCTTACTGAAGTCAAACATATTCCAAGTTTGAAGAGAAATCTTATCTCAGCTGACAAAGTCGAGACTTGTGACTACTTTCATATGTTATTCGTGGAAGGTGACCAGGGGTCATTATTGATGGCTTGGGGCAAAATTGAAAGGACTTTTTATTTGATCAGTGAAATGAATAATTTCATTAATGTGGCTAGAATAAGGGCGGATGGGTCTGTGGCATCGGGCTTGGCCATATGAGCGAGAGAAATCTATGAAGTCCCTACCTTCAAATAATAAGCTTCAGGGTTTGTAATTAGTTGATCTGGATTTCTGTGAAGATTATATATATGTGAAGCATAAGAAAGTTTCTTTTTTGAAGAGTGGGTCAATGGCGAAGTCAAAGAAACTGGAGTTAGTGCAAACTGTTGTATGGGGAAATACTCCAGTTCAGTCTTCTTGGAGGTTCTCACTATTTTGTCACATTTATTGATGATCACACGAGAAATGTTTCGGCTTATTTCATAAAACATGAATCTGATGTATTTGAAGTCTTTAAGAAATGAAGACTAGTAGAAAATGCTACAGACTTGAAGCTGAAGTGTCTCAGTTCAGATAATGGGGGTGAGTACCGTGATCAAAATTATAGAAATTTCTGTGCTACCGAGCAGGTTAGGCATGAGTTCATTGTCCCAAGGACACTGCGACAGAATGGTGTAGTTGAGCGCATGAGCAGAACAATCACGAAGAGTGCTAAGAGCATAAGGTTGCATGCAAGCTTGTCAAAATAGTTTTGGGCTGAAACAGTTAACACTGCAGTTTATCTGGTTAATCGTAGTTTGTTAGTGCCTTTAAAGGAAGACTTACCTAAAGAAGCCTGGAGTGACAAAAAGGTATGTCTATCTCATTTAAGAGTATTTTGGTTTTCTGCATATGTGCATGTTAATGCAGGTTTAGAAGTAAACTTAACTCGAAATCTGTTAAGTGAAACTTTATTGGATATGACTCAGATGAGTTTGAGTACAAGTTCTGGGATTATCAGAATAAAAAATTCATCAGGAACAGGGATGTCACCTTCAACGAGATGGACATGTAAAAGGACAGGGTCAAACTCGGGACAATCTTTCAGCTACTTCTGAAGAATCCAAATATGTGGAGATAGATGATACTAGTGGTCAATAAAATGAAGATAGAAGAAGTGCTCAACTAGAAGGAGTACTGGAAGCTCCTCAGACATCTGCTACAGAAGTTAGGAGATCTAGCAGAGTGAAACAACCCATACAAATGTATTCTTCTTCCTTATACTATTTGCTACTAACTGATAGTGGTGAACCAAGGTACTTTGAGGAGGCCACTGAAGTTGAATATTCAAGGGAGTGGAAGCTTGCCATGGATGAAGAAATGTAATATTTGGAGTCAAATCAAACTTGAGATTTGACAGTACTACCAAATGAAAAAAGATTAGTGCACAACAAGTGGGTCTACTTGTCGAATAAGGAGTCTGATGGTAGGAAGCGTTACACGACATGACTTATTGTGAAGGGTTTTCAACAAAGGGAAGGAATGGATTATACAGAGTTCTTCTCCCTAGTGGCGAAGATGAGGGTTGTGCTGAGTCTAGTAGCAGAAGATCTACATCTGGAGCAGATGGATGTAAAAACAGTTTTCTTAAGTGGAGATCTGGAGGAGGAATTGTATATGGTGCAGCACAACAAGGTTCTAAGAA